ATTCTTGAACATAAATATCTGCTATGGGAGGACAGTATATTTCACGAAACTGCTCAAGCACTAGCTGTTGGGATTTTGGAGGATTGCAGGAGAGCAGGTTTGAAGCAATGACTGTGGCTTCTAAGTTTATGACCTATACTGCAGCCAGATGGCAGGGGGCGATAGAAACGGTTTAAAGAGGTTAAAAAACCGCGCCCCGTGTGCCCGCAGTGGGCAAATACCTGCGGCTAGGTACACAACCGTTGCGGCATAAGGCTGAAAAATGATTAGTCATCCCTCCGCCCAAAACACAAACATACACACGCCTCCGCCCCTGGCTTGTTATAGTAGGCTGCAATCTGAGCAGGTGAAGTTCCAGAAAAAAACTCGCTCCTGTCCGGCAGGTGAGTGTAACTACAAGATAACAAGCTTGTATGAGCTGGATATAGCCTCTAAAAAGAAGTAGACGGCTAGTGTTTCTACACAGAGTGAGAACGGGCTTGTTCTTTACCGTGGTATGCTTTTTTTCTGTAAACGTCATTCTCGAGTCGCATTTAAACATTGTCGAAAGGGTTTTTCATGGCAGGTAATGCAGTACGGTGCGCCTTTATTTCCTAGAAAATGACGCAGTGTGGTTAAAGTTGTTCACTAAGCAGAAAAGAAGGGACTGCTGGTCACGTGATCACCAGACCAGACTGCAAATCTGGTTCAACGCTAAATCATCAACGGACATCGTTTCAGGAAGTGATCACACAATAGAGCCGGGAGCGAAAAGAGACGGCGTAGGCCTAACAAGGTCTGAAGAAGTATCAAATGAATACAACGAAAGTTACAGGACCGAGCCGACAGCGAGAACTGATGATCAGCTGACCGATCAGCTGATCACTGCCGTCAGACTCTATGAGCTTTTGGCAGTGGCGCCAGATCAGCTGAGATCCTCCAGTTCGCCCAATCAAGTGTTTAGAAATCGGGGAATGAAATAGGGGCTATTTTGTCATATCTTGGTATTTTACAGTATTTTATTTCAGAATAGTCGCCTACAGCAGAGTTGAGTTTTTTTCTTTAGGATAAAATAATTAATAAAAATTAATTTTAAAAAAGTGTTTTTACTTTGAGACTTCTAAGTCATTTGAGACACTACAGTCAATAAATACAGATTTATTTTTTTTTTAGAAGAGAGAGGTGAACTGAAACTTACACTGGTGCATTTCAAGAGTAAGGAAGTGCTTTAATAGATAAAGATGGAGAGTTGAAATCTGAGTAATAGATATAAAATGAAAATTATTCACAAAAGTTATTACAAGTAGCGAATCAACAAATAAAAAAGGCATGTCACGGGTAAAATAAAGATTTTCTTCTTATTATTATCCTTTTTTTTTTAGTGAATGCTGAGGTATGTTGTGTATTGTTTTATATCATTGTTTTGAATGTTTATGTATATGTTGTATACGTTGTAGTGACTACCGAAATCTTCCCCAGAACGATGAATGTGAGGAGAGTGCAAAAGACAGTTCTGAGTGTGGAACAGGAAGAGGGGCTCGGCGCTCGGGTCCGCAGGAGCATTGGGAGAAAGGAGGTACGCTCTTCAGCTGTCATGCTGCTTGCTGAAAATGCACTCAACAGCACTCCTCAAACATATGCTGCATATTTTATTTCCAGCTGAGGAACCTGGATCCTTTTTTGATGCTGGATGAGTTTAGAGTGAGCAAGCCAGCGGGATTTCCAGACCATCCTCACAGAGGATTTGAGACGGTGAGGCTGTGTGAGTGTGTGACCAAAGATTAACAAGTTCCAGATTCTCAAGTTTGGGAATTTGCTGCTCTTCCTTCCTGCTTTTGGTCTTTCTGTTGGGGGGAAAAAGCAATCAGTTTTGTATTTTTCCTTTAGAAAATTATGAGAATTCTTTCCGTGTTTTACAACACTTAATAGACAAAAAAAGAAAAGATTTCAAATTTACATTTTTAAAATCAAAATCTGCAACACTGCAACAGGTTGCAAAGGAGGGTGAAAGTACTGCAGTTGTCAGCCTTTCAACTAAACGTTGTCACACAGTTTAACTAGTACATCACCAGCAGGTGAAATTCCTCCTTTCGTCACTAGATGGTGACATCAGGACAAGGCCCAGGAGATAAATGTACCGCATTCATTTATACAAACATTATTTCAGGTTGATTGACCTTTTTAAAACATAGATAAATTCCAAGGTAGAAGAAACACTAATATTTCATGCCACTGTAAAGTTTGCATAAACTCACCTTTTACCCAGAATGCTTTGCAAGGAAATGTGCAAAGAATTAAATGAAGAAAAAAAAATCCCCAATTTTGAAATGACCAAATGCCCCAGCTATTAGTGGAGCAACTTTACTTTTGTGGGAGAGGTTATTTTAAAATAAATGCCAAATATCTGTGCATATTTTTACTGAATTTGTGATCCAATAAAAGCTTGAAGCTTCTAAATGTGATTTTTTTTAAAGCAAATTATTTTTTAAAAGGTGATGTTGTCTTCACCTTTTGCATTTTACTCATTACTTGTTTTATGGATCACACAAATTAAATATGAAGTAGCCAAAGCTCTTTCTAGAATGGACATCACAATTTACACAAAACATCAGCAAAGCTGCTACCATAGCTATGAATCAATGAAGTGTGGCAGGCTTGACTTGTGTCTTCATAGTCTTGAAAACCCAGACGTTGTCCTTAGATTGCCGGACTTCCCCCAACTTTATTTGATTTGGCAGATGCGACTTAAATCTCCTGGTGTGGGTGGACAGGACTAGGCTTCACTCCCAGCATGCCTTTCAGCAGGTGTGTTTGTACACACTTACATGACTTTTGAAATCACACAGCTGTGGAGACAGATCGCATGCAGTTCACTGCGGGAGCCCAAGCGTTCCTCTCTTACACAGATGTTCACCTTTGAGCTTTTGGCCTTACTGTCAGTACTTCTCTTCCTGTCCACTCTGACCAGTCTGAAAAAAAAATCCATATTTTTAAAAGTTCCTGCTTAAAAATAAGTGAAAACAAGCCTTTTTGTGTTAATGAAGCAAATAAATCAATGGTAGAGTTAATGAAAAAATGTTTATGTTTTATAAAGGATTTTGCCAAAAACCTGTTTAGTAAAGGTGCCATAAAAGGGAAAAACTCTAATCATGCCTTTTTTAAATTTTAACTGTGACTAAATACTGATAGTGGGTGATTATGCTGTTTATATGTGTCTTTCAGGTAACATATCTTTTAGAGGGGAGCATAGCTCATGAAGACTTTTGCGGCCATTCAGGACGACTGAAATCTGGAGATCTGCAAGTATGACTTTCTACAAGGGGACTTCTAATGATTTTTCCTATGTATACAGTATACTGTTAAAATGATGGTGGATGCTCATATTAAACAAGGTTAAAGTTTCAAATAAGGAGTTCTGCACTGGCAGGAGTATTCCCTCTGAGCTAAAACCTCAGACCTTGTTCAACAAATCATACACTGTACATAAAAGATGGAAAGAGCCATCATGATGTCACCCTTTAATTTGTATGCCGCGTTTTTGTAACTCGACTTCGACTAGAAAGTTAGCCAGAGTTCATAAGTTACCAGCTAAGCTTGGCTAGTAAGGTACCTCCATATATGACATACCAGCTAATTAGTGCAACAGTCAAAGAAAATGCTAAAATTCAGATGATTCAACTAAAATGTTCCACCAATGCCAAACATGGTACATTTCAGCCTTTTGAATTAGCAATGCCGAAGTTTTAAGAGACAACTAAGACTTTAGCTGACTCTATTTGGTAACTTCAATATTTTGATCACAATTTAAACAAGAGTGTGAAAAAAACAACACTCTATAGTTGTCATAAAAAGGGAAATTAGTTTTAGAGACCAAACCCAAACTTGGATATAGCCCTTATAAATCTGAAGATTTTATGGATTCATTCACTCTTCAAGACAGCCTCAAGTGGTCATTCAGGTAGCTGTTCTTTTTTTTTTCACTCCCACATTGGCTTAATTTTTCAGTCCCAGAGGCTGCCAGTTGGCACTGATATGTGGATTTTGAACCAAGCTGTTCCCAGTATATCCAGTGTTTACGCTAAGCCGCTATTGACTATAGCCTCATATTTGGATTCAGTAAGGCTTCAACAGTAGAACAAGACTTAAGTTTATGAGAGCATATGAATCCCCACAAAACTCATTACATACGCATTACAATGTTGTGCACTCACACTAATTGGATATTGTGCCCTCTGGGATGTTTCCTCTGTTTTAAAGTAGTAAAGCAATATTCACACAAACACAGCCCACTGACTCAGCTTCAGTGTGCAGCAGAGGTTCAGTCAGTTCAGCTGGATTTGTTCTAACCCACCCCGTGCACCCTCAGTTGGCTCTTGTGGGAGCTGCAAATGCTCAAACAGACGCCTGCCTGTCCTAACTGAAAATCTAGACGATGTAGATGAAAGCAGGTTTTCATTAGAGGAAGAGGTGAAGAAGCGATCAGCAAAGAAAATGTTTGAGAATGTTCTTGGGTTAAGTTCAGATATGATGGAGCGTCGTAATGATTTTAGATGGTGACTCATTTTTTAAATCCAAACCAGAAGCTTTCTTCTAAGTTACAGATATTTCATGCCTATTTAATGATAACAGATATTTTGAAATTATTTTCAAATTTTATTCTCTGGGATTTCCTAAGGGTTTGTACTAATTTTCTGCTACATTTATACATCTTTAATTTTCCAGTTTACATCAAGTAACTGATGAATAAAAACCTGCATGATGAACACTCTTAGATAAATGATAAGTGGGCAGATATAGTTAAACAAGGTTGGGAGCTCAAATTTCAAAGACTATCAGTGGTTCTAGTTGCTTCTAGGCTGTGCTGTGTGTGTGGGTTTTTTTTTTTTTGTTTAGGTGGCTGTCAAACAGTATTACAGGACACCCGCCTAGAAGAGCCCAATAAATATAGTTGCACTTAGTTTAAGTTATATTTCATTATTTGTGTACATACACACTCAGTGGAAGTGTTTGCTTGCCTGCCTTCTATCTCTTCTATCTAAAAAACACACATTGGCATACTGGTGACACCAGACCAAAAATGAGGGGATCACCAAGGTTTCAACACATCCTCTCAGGGAGATTCATGTCTGTACAAAATTTCAACATCCACTGTCAGCTTTTCAAAGCTGTTTTTTCCAAAGTGATGAACCAGTCGCTGATCACCACCATCCACACATGTTAGGCCCTACACCAAACCATTGCAATGCAAATAGTATGCAGCCCACCTCTAATCCAAACACAAAATTCAAACAGACAATAATAAACTGTAATTTTTTTTCATTAGTCCTATCATACACATGCTTGCACATCATTTGTGACTGTCTTTTGTACATGTGAATTATTTCTCCTTGTCCACCAGTGGATGACTGCAGGACGGGGGGTGGTCCATGCTGAGATGCCCATGTCAGAGGAGCCGGTAGTGGGCTTACAGTTGTGGGTTAATCTGTCAAGGCAAGAAAAGATGGTGGAACCTGCGTACCAGGAGCTTAAAGGCTCAGATATCCCCAAACGCAGCCAGGGAGGAGTTGCAGTCACTGTGATATCTGGAGAAGCTTTAGGAGCAAAGGTGTGTGCATGTGGGTTTGTTTTTATAATTCATCTACAGGGATCTGATATCACTAAAGCCTTTGTCCTACCAAGTTTATCAGACTAGCACTCTAAAACTGGGCATGGTGTTTAGTTTCCTGTTAGCTGCTGATCTCATGATGATTGCTCATTTGCTGGATGCTTGAGGCAAAAATGAAAAACCTACAAACAGTATGTGGGTGTGTGTGCATCTAGGATAGGGGAAGGAGCCCGTTACTGCACTGTTTGACCAGAGTGAGTGTCTAAAAAGAGGAAACTACAAATAAGAAGCAGATTGTTCGGCGCTGTGAGGGTTGACTTGTTAGTTAGTTGTGGTTTGCCTTTGTGCTTGTTCTAAGACTTTTGTGGACATCGGTGGAAGTTGATGTGGAGGTTGTTTAAGGAAGTGGGCACTATTGACACATTTTAGGTTAAATGTAAGACTGAAAGTGAAGGAAACTGATGCAACTCGTTGTTTGAAGTATGTGTTTGTGTTCATCCATGTATGTGGACTCTAATATACCGACAATCAGAATGTTTTATTAATACCAGAAGACATTATGTTGTCAGTGTTCCTCACAACAGTAAGAAAAGTAACTAAACAAACTAAATTAAATAATAATACACACTTGTACAGTGAGGGGTTGTATAGTGAGAAATGATCAAAGTTCCCAAGTCCATAGTAAAAGGACTTGGAAACAGTTTGCTGCTTGTGATATACTTGTGTGTGTGTGTGTGTGTGTGTGTGTGTGTGTGTGTG